TTTGCAACTACAGTAAATGAATAGTTGGTGGAACATCTCTGGAGCAAAACCAATGTAATGCCTCAGATGAAACTGGAGGGGGTCTAGCATTTAATTATGAATGTAAACTATCCATGTTGAGCTCTCACTATTACTGGATGGAAAACACCATTATTAACACCGTCACTGAAAAACAAAGAGCTAAAGCAGCAGGAGTTTAAGTCTTTCCCTTGTTGTACCCGGTACTTTTTACCATACTGACTCTGAGAGACGAGACAGTCCAAGTAACTACAAAACAGTGCTGATTTATTCCATGAACACAGGTAAAAGTTAACATTACACGCTCAGGTATCTTGCACCTCCAACCTGCACGCAGGCAGATGTAAGATGAAAGACCCTGAACCCACCAGGCCTATACATTATATCCCCTCGGTTGGGCTAGCCCCATACTACACAGAAACGTCAACCGAGACGTCTCTGTTACACATGTCGTGACTTAAACATAAGAACATATTATGGCTAAGGCTACAGTTCTACACGTCATAATAATAATATTAAACATCCTGTCTGCTGACAGTCATCAACTCTTCTCTCTAGTTATCCTTGACCAGATGTACCCTGTAGAAACTCATCAGCATGACTAAGCATTTAACAGTCTAACTAGACATCCTATCTCCACTAAACATTTCTAATACATAAAGTATCTATCCAATTTCTATCTGACTAAAAATACCTAACACCCTGAAACAGCTAGAAGGCAAGGATTGATATGTTGTTTTGTGTTCCTGTTAATCTTCTCATGATGTATTTTCATAGATACTTTAAATCAGTTGTTATAATTTGGTGTGATTTGGGACAAACCACATGTATGCATATACTTGTTTCCAAACCTGATTCATGGCACTGTAAAATATGACAGGATCAAAATGCTGTATTCTGGCAGACATCCAGTAACTCTCCCCACTGTAATTGTACCCTTTCAGAAAAATCTCAGGAAATACCTTTGTTGTCAGCCCAAAAATCTCTTGCCCGGCAGAATCTATTTTTAAACCCTGCTGACCTTTTCCATATCATCCACGCTCACTGACTCCACCCCTGTGACAATGCCAACAAGGCAGGAGGAACAAGGGCCACAGGAAGAGGGGTGTTTTGCATTTTTTCAGCCGGGGGTCCGGAAAGCTTTAACTGAATCCCCTGTTGTGTTCTGGGGAAATGAGCTGGGCTTTTTAATGATGAACTCAGGGTAATATGTTTTCTTTTACTTCTAGCCCTGTGGTGCTGTGATTGCTTGGATGGATCCCTGTAGATGTGGAGGACAGCGGGACAAACACGCCCTGCTGCAGGCAGCTATGTCTGTATCAGGCTGGATCCAAATTTTTCAAAAACTCCATTACTAATGTTGTTGACATTTGGCATGTTTATGTGTGTTATTCCCCTTTATCAAAGACAGACATGTTAATAATAACCAACTTCATAGCACTGCACTGTGGTTATTATCCAGTTCAACCGGAGCTAAGCATCATGCCTATACATGGTTGAGATAATGAAACATGTGTGTCTCATACAACTTTCATCATCGTGGTGGTCTGATGGTTAGTCCCGCAAATTATGTCTTGTTGTTACCAGAGATCTGCTGGGGCATTAAACTCCAGTGTGTGAGCCAAACCCATTTTCCTCCAACATCATCCTGCAGCTCCTAATAAACAGAGTTGTGCCTGGAAGCGCTAAATCACTAACTACCTTTAATCACTTTACAATAATGCTTAGCATGTGGATCCAATGTATGCCACTGCTTCAGGCAGACTGCACTGACTCTCATGTATGATGCTGTTTGAAAGCTAGAGCAGGGGAACTCTACCGCATGGCAAGCAGTAAGTTATAATCTCTCCCACAGACAGCAGCATCCACAGTGGTTATCCCACTCTCTACGACCGCAGTGTAACAATGCCCTAAATTTGACCATTCAGGCCACCGTCCATTCAGCCAGGCCCAGTGGCCACAGATTCAGGGACCACCGGTGTTTAAACAAGCAATATTTTATCTAGCCTCCTGCCAACCTACCACAAACAGTTTATAGTCAATGGGTTCTGCTCTCTGGAGTTTGTCTATGGCAACCCGACTCCATGCCACATCTCTCCATCCAGAGCCATGAAAGACTGGCGTCCTGACAGCTCCTCACAACACACAGCCCTGTCCCGCGCTGCTTTTAGCCCATGCTGCGGTGAGCTGGACCACGTCTGGGGATAAAAGGCTGCCAGAGTGTTTGGCTTGCAGGCGATTTACACGGACGTGAGGGTGATTCATTCTATCTTTGCACAAACAGGCCTCTGTGTATATTTCATTGGTACTGGGCTTTTAACAGTGGGAAACGTATACACACGGGTAGTGGGACTTACATACTACTCATTCACACTCAGCTGGGTGTCTGCCACACTCGCATACACTCTCTGACACCTCTAGACAAGTCATGCACACACACAAGTGAACATTTTATCACAGTCCATCTTGGATTAAAAAACACACATACACACCGTGACATGCCCCACTGTTTATGTCTGAGACTGGTTTCATGTCTGTAATTTGTCTCCACTTCCACCACTCTTGCTGGGCACTGTGAGCTAAAGCTGTAGCGTGCCTCTCTAGTTGGAAGCAACATTATGAGGTGCTCCTACTAAATGCAGACCCATCTGTGTAACTGCTTCTCAATCCTACATCTAAAGTTTTAACAATGCATTTTGGTACTAAAATAAACCATCAACATAATCCACATTTATTAAGGGAGCACTTATAAATATCAAGTTGGCAGAGGAGGATCAAAACTGTTTCCATTTCTGTGTTCAAGAACATCCATAATGAGGACAGCAATTTTATTTCCTTCTCATGTTCTCATACAAACTTTTTGTATCTTTTGATTCTATTAATGGTGCCTTTGAGTCAGTGTAAATTAAATGTGAACCAGCACAGTGTGATGTGTGAAGCTGCTCCAAAAACACCACCTATAAATCATCTAGTCTATAAATAACTTATTTATTCAGAGAGAATTCTCAACTGCAGCAGAAGATTGAAAGCTCACAGTTCCCCTTCCTTTCCTGCTACATCATCTAAACATTAAATGTAACTGCATCTATCAATGATGAGACTCAGCAGATACAATATGTTAACATACCAGATCACATTTACAGTGAAATATGGTCACTATTCTGACCTATTTGGATGAAAATGTGAAGTAGTTCCAATTGTAAAGACAAAATGCTACTGATGAGTTTCAGTGACTCCAAAAGTGTGAAGCTGTCGACCTCTGTTCTAGCCACTAGGTGACACCACCACCTTGGTTCTGGGCTCTCTCCGCAATGTTTCTCTGTCCCCAACTCTCACTACAAGCAGTTCTACTTCTTTTATTACTGCACAGTGTCCCACAGAAAAAAAACACACAAGTGACAGAATATCAAAAGTCCTGTAGTCACAGATTTAACTGACCGTGTTTGAAAATAGCTTCTTGTATAACTACACCATTATTTGAACAAGTGGGTTATGCTTTGAAGTGTTGACATTGTGTAGAACCTGCAGTTAATCTTACTCCTTTGTATTGTCAAAGTGCTCCAAGGTACAATTTCATTGATTCAAATCCATTTTCACTTACTCTACTATACCTCATCCACATAAAGACCATGACATGTACTGTGTCTGTTCTCTCACCTACTTGACAGGCTTCAACTAAATCTTACTGGTAACAGCCGTGTTCTGTTTTTGTCAGTTGTGGCCATAGTGACAGATTTCAGGACAGCCTGACTCTGCGCTTCTGTGCTCAGTCTGAGCCAAGTAGGTCTGTCACTCTGTCAGTCCCCAGGAGGACATGCACAGAACTTAAGGCTTATGGTGATGTTCACTGTGCTCTACTGAGAGCAAAATATTGTTTTAGAAAGCCTTGGTTAAAAATAACAGTAGCTGGTCTCCTGTGCCTTGTAGGTTCAGCACTTTCTATCACAGCTGAAAATGGAAATGTTTGAAACTTCAGGGTGTGTCACTGTTCTCCAGAGAAAAAAACCTTATGGCATGTTTAGCTCTGTGAGAGGTCCATAAGGATTGATGAATTCACTCAAGCAGCTTGAAGTAGTTTTTTATACCAGAAGCTGAATGCATTGCAAAAATATACACCCTGATAAGTCCATTTGGCTTAGGACTAGTTTTAAAACTGGCAAGTGAGAGATATCTAAAACCACAGCAGCAGACAGGATCAACACTGACTCAAGCATATTCTCAAATCAACTTATTTTAATAAAAAACAAGTTGCCAGATCACTTACTTCATTAATAAAGCAAAGTTTGAGATTAAATGACTTCTCAAATTGTTAATTTTGGCCACTTTTGGGGCTGAGTCATTTTTAGTTTATCCACCATGGTTACAAACGAGAAAGAGAGAGTTCTCCTACTCTTTGTGTCCGGGGTGTGTGACCACAATCTGCCCAACTCAACATCGCTTTCCACACCTATGGAGCAGTACAGTGTCGATCAGGCAGCGGTCACGGAGAGCCGACCAGTTGTCACCAAAATGACAGGCGACAGCTGAGTCCATACATCTGGAGCCCCCGGGACTCCACACTTCTCCGACTCTGACCAAGTATTTCTGCGCTAGAGAAACTGGGTTACTCTAGCTCCGCACGCAGCGAAAGTGAAACGTGGAAAAGTCGCTGCGTAAAAGCGCAAAGCCAACACCGTAACCGAAGTCATTAAGGCCAGTTTCGGATTTACATGGTATGGATTCAGTTGATGGATGTGATACTGGCTGTTCAGCGTCCCATTTGTGTCATTTAATCACAAAAGTGAGGTAAAGGTTTATGCATTTTTACTGTCACGCCATCGATTATTTATGTTTAGAGCATTTTCGTTGCGTTAAACGTCAAAGTAAAGTAACCCCAAACCATTTGCCATAAAAATATCACTTATGTAGAAACTTCCAGCAGCTGCGAAATTGATGTCCAAACACAACTATTAAAGGAAACAAAAATGACCTAGTTCACTCACCCCCAACGTGTTCAGTCGGGTTAAAACGGGCATCCAGAGGCAATATTCCCGGAGTGAGACAAGCGATTCACACTGCGTTTCATTGGCATAAGATGAAAAGTCCAGAGAGGGTGCACCACTGTGCCGCAAAGCTGAACTGGAGCTGTGCAAAGCGATAAGCTTACACCCCAGATACCGACTGCACTAAAGATGAGCGCTGAAAGAGCCTGGATTGGCCTCACCCACGGTCACCACATCACGGTCAGATCGGCAGCGTACGGCGCGTTATGGTGCTCCTCTCGGCGGTCACAGTGAAATGACATTAGCGTTGCTTCCTGCCTACTGGATTAAACAAGAAGCCCCCACCAACCCTGGAGACACGGAGCAATCCGAAGCACGTCACACAAATGCTCCTGTGAATTTTAACTCCTGCTGATGCAGTGAGGAGTTTAAGGACAACTATCTGTGTGCTTTAAGTGCTTGGTAACGAAATGAGTTAATATTGCTTTGAGGCAAATAGCCTACACACGTTTTAATAAAACTCTCAATTTTGTGAAAATTCCACGTTTCTCTAAAATATGAACCAAACCCCATGTGCACCTCCATCCTCTACTTTTGTCACGAGATAGAAATATGATCTTTTCTTGCAAACCCATTTGTCTCTCTTCCCACCGACATGCAGTTGTTACAATGTGCTTTATATTCTCTAACAGACTGTGTAACATTACTCCTATTTACAGTGGGACATGAAAGGCAAGTCTGTATGGATATTCTGAAAAGAGGCTATTGCCTTGCTGTCTATTGAGTTAGACAAAAATGCTTTGTGATGATCAGAGATTTGAAGAGAATGGCTACCACCCATAAATCTGTGCATGATCATAACACAATTGTCAACATTCTGGTTTGTGCTACATTCAAATTCAAGCAAAAAAGGTTGCTGTATATAGATTTGCACCAAAAGAGCCCAATGCTTTAGTTAATGTTATGGTATCATTCCAATCCCAGGTACTAAATACAGTACCTTTGGATTCTGCACATCAGTGATACAAGCACATGTGCTGACAACCTAAATACAGTGAAGATAAGATTTTTGACTGGTGGACCTTGAAGGAGCTCTCTGTTCTGCCATGACGCAGATAAGGTCTTTCCATGACAGCTAGCATGACATGCCCCCAAACAACTCAACCAAATCTGGATAGTTTGTATCTCAAATCAGGGCTTTAAAACAATTTTTTTTCATTCTGCTCTGCCTTTGGTCAGAAGAAACATGACACGTAAACGTGACAAATGCATCAATGTGATTGTGTGGCCTTTGACCTCTCTCGGTGGAACAGACGCTACATCTTCAGCTGACCTGGGTTTTGACCCAGTGACCACCAGAAATGTCTGACTGTGTGAATGTGTCTTAACTACGAACAGGTGTAGCAGCTCAAATCTGTCAATCACTCTCTACACAGCCTCGGCATGAATCAGTGGTACACAACACTGTGCCAGATGGAAATTCACACTTCTCTATCACATGAGCAGTGCCTCATTTAACCCATCACTTCATATAGGAAAGTTAATGTCACACAGTACAGACATTAAACTAGCCATCAAATATTCATTTTGGTCTTTATTTGTTTCTCATTTTAGCATTAGAGCTAAGGGTTTTATATGTACAGTATTTAAAGATATTTGACCTAATTCTGCTCCTTATCTTCTGCCTTCATATTTGATAAATACACTAAAAATAAGTCAAAATTAGACACAATAAGCCTCAAAAATACAACTAAGCTACTGTAGCACTATCTCAGGGTGAAGAACCTTAAGCTACAGCACAGCATCTAACAAGAAGACCGTTAGTTATAAGCAAACTGGACGAGTATGTCAGGTCTCTAACACAGCACTGAAAATGATTTTTTTAAATTTTATTTTATTTATTTATTTTTTAAGGGCCTTTTATCCGTATGCTAGAATGTTTGACTGGCTGGACCTGAATGTTAAAGCCTCTCCCAGTCACTTATCTTGTCTCTCTTTAGAGCTTATCTCCAGCTTTACTAATGGGATATTTATGGTGGTGTTGTAAAAAAAAAAAAAAGAAAAACAAAAGAAAACATTCTGAGCAGCATCACTTGCATGGCTTTAGCCCATAAAGATACTCTGCAAACTTTCCAGTGTATCTCACTTAGTGTGGCACGTGGCTTCTGCTTTTAACAACATACAGTTTGATTGTAATTACTGTCTCAAATATAATCCCAGTACACTGCTTGATCAGGGGATCAACTGGTCCAAAAAAACAAAAAAAAACCAAAGCAAAAGGAAGCACTGACTTAACACTTTCATTTCACTTTACAGTCTTCTCTGTGTTTCAGATTGTCTGTTCTTCAGTGGAAGCTTTCTTCTATCCATTACTGAAAAAAATAAAATTCCCAGTGTGAACCTATATGTATTTTCAGCTGTGTAGAAAAAGATAACAGGGAATTTCTCAAAGTTCAGCCTATGACTTAGAAATCCAATTTTACAAGCTTGTGGGATTTCTGTATTCAGCTTTAGCGAATCCCATCTGCATTTATATTTTGCACTCAGGAAGTGTAAATGTATCCAGTTGAGTAGTAAACAGCGTAAGGTTTACCACTATCGTTGCTTGATATTTATCAAGAAATTACAAGAGACTTTCTAAGAGATACACCAGAATTTAACAACTCAAGCCCCTAACAGCAGCGTAGTTATAGCCCTGGTTGCCAGCTTGGGTGAGGATAGCTGTTGGAGTGCTAGTGTGGTCTTCATCATGTTGATAGTTCTCCTTTTTATGTTTGCTTTACATTTTATGTGTGGGTGAGTGAACAATATTCTGCACTGCACGGGTGAACAAATTTTGTTGAGTTTTTATTATGCGAGTTGTGATTTCCTGTAACCTACTGGGATATTTGCATATCCCAAATAATATGAAGATACAGATGAAATCAGTGCCTGTCCCTGAAACATATTCTGTGCACATATTTCCCTTTAATTCCATTTGCGCTATCTGGTAATTGCTTTTTGCTGGAACATTACCCTCACACAGTGAGAAAATAAATCCACATTGAGGTGCATTTAAACAAGTTGGCAGGGGATTCTTTTTCTAAAGGGATCTTGTTTCCTTGAGTTTACACAGGCAATCTCCAGTCCAAACAAAGGTGGGAAAACAAACAAACAAGTGACAGGGACTGTGGCTGATGGCTGAAGGCAAAGGCAGGACCAGCTCTTGAAGCAGCTGGACCTCTTGAGCAGTCACCTGGCTGCCATCCATACTCAGCAGCAACACTGGTGACCAATTAGGCACCACAGGTCATCCCAGAGTCCCAGAAGGCCCAACTTTACTCAGTCTGTTGACTCGATCTGTTGTTGAACAGCTTGTCACAGACTAACAAATGGGATCACATTACTAAAATAAACAAGTTAATGCATGAGCTGCAGGTACAGTGAATCAGTCACATCCTTATTAGTTCCCATTGTTTCTGTAGAATCTCAAAAAGAAAGGAAATAATAGGCTAATTTAAAAGACTGGACCTACACAAACTGCCACAGTAACAGTAGGCTGAAGACATTTTCTATGGCTTGTAGATCAAGCATTCTGTCAAATGTAGACCATTATAATTAATATGCTACACATTAGTCTTTGTAGTCTCTAACGGGCTCTAGCTCAAGCTCTCTTCCAAAATAACTTAAAACACCAAAACAAGATAGGGCTTGTTTGTTTACAGCATGCTGGTTGTGGAATTGTTTCAGAGTAAAAATAGCAACCAAATGCTCAAAGTAGTGCAGTGATATTTGGTGGCCTCCATCCTTGTATCTCTGCTGGGGTTTGCTCCTGTTATCAGTGCTTGTTAATGGTCCACAGGAAGCACAGGAGGGAGTAGAAGAAAATTATCTAACCATTTGCTTTTACTTTAACCACATTTGTGCAGCAAGAGCACATGCATTCTTTGGAAAGAAAGTTAGGATTAAAAATTTTAAAAGAAAAAGGAGAAACAGCCAGTTTGGCCAAGAAATAACCTGGCACAGAATCCTCTGTAAAACCAAAACTTGAAATTTTTAGACTTGTGTTTTTGTACATGTTTAATCAAACAAGATATGAGGCATTAATTGGTGAGCTTTAAGAAGTACTGATAATTGGGATTTGTTACCTTTCTACAGCACTGGGCTAGCTGTTTCCCTGTGCTTCTAGTCTTTATGCTAAGCTACGCTAAGTGTCTCCTGACTCCAGCTTCATATTTATCATACAGGCATGACAGTGGTATCAACCTCTTGGAAAGAAAATGTGTAAGTTCTCAAAATGCCAAACCTCTCCTTTCACCCATGCTCTGCCTTTACAGGTTACACAAGAAAACATTAGACATTTTTGTTCATGTGGTTTGGAGAGGCTCCTTTCACCAGTTATTCAAAATTAATGTCTTTTCCTGCTATTTTATCTGCCATCTGTGATCATACTTCAGTTTTTCTGTTCATCAGACATTCATGAAAGAATGTTTCAAACAGATGTTCCACTGTTTGATTTTAGTGTCTCCTGTAAGAAGTTTACATTTGCAGTAATCCTGCTTCCTGATGCATATACTGTATTGTTTAGCTGAGTATGATTTCCACTCTAAAATTAGGCTTTGTTTGCCCAAAATATAATGAACTGTTACATAACCTATCATCTAACCAGCCAAACTCCACTAAGTGCTTCTTCATCTGCATAACATGGCTTTGATCTTGGGTAATTTGATCTTAGGTAATTTCAACAGGAAATGTGCATGCACAGAAAGAAAGGCTGAGGATTTGCACAAGTGGATGGTGTACAATGCTCTCCCAGTCCCAGGTCTGCTGTAGGCCTACAGGCAGGAAAACCAGGGGGCCAGGGTAAAGACAAACAAGGGGTCAACTGAGCCAAGCTGTGAACCAGATTTATGTTCAGTGCATTATCTTCTTGTCCCAGTGTGGTCGATAAACTGTGCTGAAGTTTTCACACCCCTCTAAATGCTATGCCTCAAACAGAAACTGTCAGAGTATTAGACCCTGATATTAGCTGGTTTCCATTGCCTTTTTCCACTTCCGTGTCTCCCCTCAGCCTTTCATTCTTTTCCCAGATATTGTAATGCTTCTGCTATTAATTCCCCATTGGTGGAGTGAAGCTCCTTTGGACATGCTGCATTCCCAGGCTGGGTTCTGTCGCCTGTGAGATAGCGCAGAGCACACAACCTGCACTACTATTAAGATTCCTTATGTTACCCAAATAGGAAACATAAGAGGATCTGTGCTTTCTCTCTGCCTCTGCTTTCTTTTTGTCTCAATAATATCTTCCTTCTTTCTTCAGTTCCCTTC